AAGTCAATATTATTTTTCCTAATGCCTGTGCCTTGTGACTTATTGCCAGCTTCCTCATTGACTTTGTTGGAAGCCAGCTGTGAAAGTTGCAAATGGTGATTGTGTGATCATAGAGATGAGGTGTACATCTTAAGTTCAGGGATCAGTCATAATCCTACTTCCCCAATATTGTCGTAAATTGGAACAATTGCTAAACAGGCCGGTCATTAACCAAGGACTACCTGTAATTAATCATATAGTCCCATGTAAATTGAAATTGTTATTATAATAAAATATACACCCTTAAATAAGTCAAGTAAAATCACTTCAAGGTGCGATTTCACTTATTGAGTTGCTTGATTTGTTTAACTGCTAGTTTGTAGAATTTACCAAAATCAGTCTGAATTTTGCTTCTTAGAATTTTATTATCTTTGCCTAACTCTGCATCCTATCTAGTAATTTTAGTAAAATGTTGTTGTTGTTGTTGTTAATTGCAAAGTCGTGTCCGACCCATCGCGACCCCACGGACAACGTTCCTCCAGGTCTTCCTGTCCTCTACCATCTTCTGGAGACCATTTGAGTTCACGCCTACTGCTTCAGTGACTCCATCCAACCACCTCATTCTCTGTCGTCCCCTTCTTCTATTGCCCTCAATCTTTCCCAGCATCAGGCTCTTCTCCAGTGAGTCCTTCCTTCTCATTAGGTGGCCAAAGTATTTGAGTTTCAACTTCAGGATCTGGCCTTCTAAAGAGCAGTCAGGGTTGATCTCTTCTAGGACTGACCGGTTTGAACGCCTTGCAGTCCAAGGGACTCGCAGGAGTCTTCTCCAACACCATAGTTCAAAGGCCTCCATTCTTTGTCGCTCAGCCTTTCTTATGGTCCAACTTTCACATCCATACATTGCAACTGGGAAAACCATGGCCTTGACTTTACGCACTTTTGTTTTCTTTGTAATAATACTGTAATCAAAGTAAATTGTACTAGTGTTCTAGCAGAATTGTTAGAAAAATACTAATGGTGTTAATTTTTTAAAACAAATTGAAAATTTCTAGTAAAAGTAGTGTTACTTTAGAAAAAACACATTTTAAAGCTAATAAGAAACCCAGGCAGAAACAAGATATTGCATATCATATTTTTAAGCCACAAAATAGCTGTTGATATAATTATTAGTGCATATTTAATTTAAAAATTTGAATGTAAGTAGAAAAAGAAAGGTTTTCATTTAGAATATTACATTGGCGTGTATCTATAGCAAGACAAATCAAGGAGCATGAAAGTATAGTCTTTCTATATATAAGTAACAAATGAAAGTATTTCCTATTCCTGCAAGCTCTTTTAGCACACGAACGCCCTTTCCAAAGGAGGGGCACGTATCAAAACAACAGTCATGCGATTTGATGAACAATTGATGACGTTTTATGGCTGGAAATGAAATCAGACACAGTCTAGATTCTAGAACATGGAAAAAGCAGTCAGCTTTTTGGAAACTCATTAGTATATGCAAAAAGTTATAAATACAGTGGAGTAAAGAACTTGATTCTGTCCTACACACCTATGTTAAGACTGGGAATTATTGCTTTTTCATTTCAGGATAAATCACACTGATTGGATGAAGCAGTATGAAACTTTGACAGATATGATAGTTCCTCGATCCAGCAAGTAATCTTGTTTCACTTTTCATATCCTTTTAATATACTTGATTCTTGGAAATTGGAGTACAAACCAAAATGGACTGAATATATGTTTTAAGGATTCCATGTGTACAGTGATTTAAATATTTCTTCTCCCTAAAAATGTTCCTCTCTGTTATTTGATTTTGAATTGAGTTTTTCTACCCAAACCATCCCCTGCAGAACTGACGCAAGTTCTCTGTATTCAAATATGCTTGTGGGGAGATCTTTTGTTGCCTGTTGATGTGTAACTTGGTCTATGAAATTGATTTGTTTTACCACAGTGCCTCCCCCAGCCATTGTGCTAAACTATGGTTTGTTGAATAAATTATAATCTGAAGTATATATTACACACAAATTACACAAAACCTAAAACAGACAGATATCACATCTTAATGCAGTCCATCAACTTAGTTATGATCTCAATTGTTTTGGATGATAGCAGTCTATCATTTGTCAGAGGGAAGAGGGCATCGATTTATTCTCCACATTCTCCACCTGAGGGCAGGACAAGAAGCAATGGGTGGAAGCTCAGAAGGAGATTCAGTCTGGAAATGAGGGATTTTATGACAGAACATTAAGTGGAACAGCTTGCCTACTAGAGTTATGGGTGCTCCATGGCTGGAGGTTTTCCAAAAAAGATTGATGATGATGATGATGATGATGATGATGATGATAATATTAATAATAATAATAATAATAATAATAATAATAATAATAATAATAATAATAATAATAATAATAATAATAATAAAGTTGGAAGGGACCTTGGAGGTCATCTAGTCCAACCCCCTGCTCAGGCAGGGAACCCTATACCATTTCAGACAAATGGCTGTCCAGTCTCTTCTTAAAAACTTCCAGTGTTGGAGCATTCACCGCTCCTGGAGGCAGGTTGTTCCACTGATTTGTGTGAATGATATGAAGACTCCTGCCTTGGGCAGGGGATTGGACTGCAAGACCTCCAAGATCCTTTCCAACTGCATGATTCTAAATGGCTTAGGTAACATTCTTTATTGGATAAACTGTATTGGTGAAATAGTATTGAATTGCACAGAATTTTGTAAGTGCAGACCAAGAAGAACTCTTATTCTAACCATTTTCCCAAAACAATATCTGTGATTCAATTCATGCTTTTCATTCAATAAATGGGGCTACCAAAAGCACTTCTGTGTTGGACACTTAGATTGGCACTGAGTATTTTCTGACATAATGAAGTTTGTGTAGCCATTGTTTATTGGGAAGAGCGGGCGTCTTGTGTAAAATACACTGTCTATGTTACTTCTGTTAAAAGGATAGTGTAGGTGAACTGCAGTTACTGTTGTCTAATTGAACCATGCTGCCTTAAATCTATTCCTGTAAACTAAATTATACAATATAATACAAAACTCTAAATCCATTTGCCAGTTTTGAATTACAACTTCAGTTTTTATTCCAGTTTGTGGTTTCATTAAAGATTTTTGTCTTATGGGCCCTGGCATCTTTTACTTTGCAGTATTCTTCATGAGGACCAGGATAGTTATCTCTGTAATGTCACTTTATTCAGGAAGGCAGTGGATGAGTTCAAACATAAAGCAAGAGACAACAAGTAAGTGCAACCTTGCTTTGTTTTTTTTTTTGTTAAGGAATAGCTGCACAGCAATTTATAAATTGTACTTCTTTCCCAATGCAGATTTATGGTCCGTGACTTTCAGTATAATGAAGAAGAAATGAAGGCAGACAAAGAAGAAATGAACAGGCTGTCTACTGATAAGAAAAAACAATTTGTAAGTTCAGTGATATTTTTGCATTAAATATGGAGGTAATTTTTCAGAATCTGTATTTTCATTGCTGATTTTCTTTTTAGGCTTTTCATATAAACAAGGTACACCACTGGTTAACAAATACGCTCTGTTCCAGTAATTACTAAGCGTTTAAACACGTTTTTTTAACAAGAAGTATCAAAGTGGCTTTTTTTTCCATCAGGAAATTATATTTGACCTGCAAAAGATAGATTGAATGATGCAAGAGCACCATGGCAGATAAGGAAGTGAGTTCAGATATTAAATGCCAGATGCATTCTTTTCTAAGTGCTAAAATAACATGTAGGTACTGTTTCAGAATAATTATTCATAATCCTTTGTAGTTTGTAATGAATTTTTAGAACAGTTTATTAAATGATGAATCAGTGAATGTCTACGAAAGAATATATTGATAACTAAGAAGCAACTTGACTTTATCACGAATCAAGTCTTCTTTCTCATTTTAAATAGAATTATAGATAAGTAGATAATAAGAATAGTGCTTTTAAGCANCTGCAGCACACTGCTGGCTCATATTTAGGTGATTGTCCACTAGGACTCCGAGGTCCCTCTCACAGTTACTACTATTGAGCAAGGTACCCCCTATACTATACCTGTGCATTTGGTTTTTCTTGCCTAAATGTAGAACCTTACTTTTTTCACCATTGAATTTCATTTTGTTAGATAGCGCCCAGTGTTCAAGTCTGTCCAGATCCTTCTGTATCCTAAGCCTGTCTTCTGGAGTGTTGGCTATTCCTGCCAGCTTGGTGTCATCTGCAAATTTGATGATTTCCCCATCTATCCCCTCGTCCAGATCGTTGATGAAGATGTTGAAGAGCACTGGCCTTAGCGTTTTTCCATAGGCTAAGGGCTTGTGCTTCCTGTGCACATCTGCACGTCCTTGGAAATGTCAGGGTGTGGCTTAATGAGGCAAACAGCTAAAACACTTGTGTGGACTCTTGTGAATAAATGAATAAATAATTGAGGAAGTAATGAAGAAGCCCATGTTATCTCAGGTTTCAACTTTTAGAATCTTTTGGGAAAAGGCATGAGCTGAACTGAGCCTTGGGGAGGTGGGGGTGGAAAGCATTCTGCCTAGCTGTGGCTGCTTTTCCCAAATGCAGTCAACAACCTCAAATTCATTTTCTCACAACAGTTTCCTCACAACATAGAATATATTACTATCGGGAAACCCAGTAATAGCGTATGGATATGAGAGCTGGTACGCTCCCACAGAGTGGGTCTCCTCAGGGTGCCGTCAGCCAGACAGTGCCGGCTGGCGACTCCCAGGGGGAGGGCCTTCTCGGTGGGAGCTCCCACCCTCTGGAATGAACTGCCCCCAGAGATCCGGGTGATCCCGGATCTCCCTTCCTTCCGCCGCGCCCTTAAGACATGGCTATTTCAACAAGCAGGACTGGCCTAGGGGGGGATTTTTAGTGGGGTTTTAAAAACAATTTTAAATTGACACAGGCCAAATCAAATATTTCATTTTAATTATGCTTTTAAATTGGGGTATTTCTGTATTTGTTTTTATCAGGCTGTCAGCCGCCCTGAGTCCGTAAGGAGAAGGGCGGGGTAAAAATCCAATTATAAAATAAATAAAAAATAAATTATGGAAGGTTGAGCACCGAAGAATTGATGCTTTCAAATTGTGATGTTGGAGAAGACTCCTGAGAGGCCGTTGGACTGCAAGGAGATCAAGTCAATCATTCCTAAAGAAAATGAACCCTTTGGAAGGACAGATACTGAAGCTGAAGCTCAAATACTTTGGCCACCAAACGAGAAGAGAGGACTCATTGGGGAAGTTTAAACTATTTTGCCCAGAGAAATTACAAAATATACTGACTAGGATGTTGAGAATTCTGCAAGTTGAGTCCTTTGAGGAACAGGTGACTTATTTATGCAGAAGGAAAAATTAAAAGGACATATAATAATTTTCAAGTGTTTGAAATATTTTCAGATAGGAGATGGGAATAGATTCCAAAGATGATATCTGAAACCAGTGATCAGAAATTGCAAGAAAATAAATATGTTTTCAGCCAAACATTACAAGAAATGTCCTAACAATTTAGTTGTTTGAAAGATTGACACTTTCACCACTTATCGTGAACCCTAACACTTCTTCATGTGAGATGAATGATATGCTATCACGGATACTTGCATCCTGCGTTGCCAAGAATCTGATTCTGGGTAGAATTACTGCATTCAGTTGAGATGGCGTGATGTTCAGTTTCACTAGTGCTAAAACTGATGCTGCAATTTTTGATGTTATTAAATAATATTTGAGTTCTGAATAATAAAATGGCAAAGTATACATGCTTAAAATATTAAATACATTAACTATGCTTAATTAGTTCAATTATCTTGATAGGTTTCATTATTTGAAAGACGTGCGTAATCACAGTTTTGCGCTTGGACATACACACTTTAATACAATATAAAGTCTTCTAATGTTTATAGTGTCTGCTTGCTTTTCTCTGTTTAATCACAGGGGCCTCTAGTCCGGTGGCTAAAAGTGAATTTCAGTGAAGCTTTTATTGCATGGATTCATGTGAAAGCCCTAAGAGTCTTTGTTGAATCTGTTCTAAGGTATTTATCTTCATTGCCAAATAGAGTTATCTATTCCTTCAGAAATTACACAACGATTTTGTATCTCAGTTTAGTAAATCTTGGTAGATGAACTCCTTTCAAAAATACCAAGTTCCGTAGATGAAATGAATTGTTTAATAAAAGAACTTTGCAAATCACATTTTTATATAAATAAGAATTAAATTATAACATAAGCCCCTCACTACTTGAAATCATACAGCTTCAGGCATAGAATACTGCACTTTAGCATGTCATCCTAACTATCATGTTTTCATTATGCAGCAAAAGATTTAACTTTTATTTCTTTATTTGATTTCTATAGCCACCCCAAAACAAGTGGCTTGGTGGTATCCATCTGGGAGGCATATATCATTTTAAAAGCATTATGTCTGAATTAACCAGTTACATAAGCAGTCTCTAGCGTTTTGGACACCAGGGACCAGTTCCGTGGAAAACCATTTTTATGATACATATGATATAGTGTATATATGATATAGTGCTTCAAAAGAAAATGCATTGAAAATACGTCTTAAATTGAAAGGAGAGAAATTTGAATCCAACACGAAAAAAAATTATGTCAGATATAATGATGTTATGAATGTTCTTCTCTTCATCTCTGCCTCCCCCCACCCAGTTAATTAGGCTTTGCAAAAGAACAATGATTCAATACTATTCAGAAGGTTTAAAAATGACTTTGTCATTTATTTAGGTACGGCTTGCCAGTTAATTTCCAGGCTATGCTCCTTCAGCCCAACAAGAGAACAATGAAGAAATTGAGAGAGGTCCTGTATGATTTGTACAAACACCTTGATAGTAGTGCTGCAGCAATCATTGATGTAAGTAATCTATATCATGATGAGGTTAACTATAGATTTTGCCATAACATGGAGTAGATTTTTTTCTGATTTCATATTGTTGGATGGGATCACAGAATCCAATTCTCTGCCCAGTACAGAAATCCAGATTAAAACATTAAGATAATGTCTGTCTATCTGTTCTGTCCCCGTCCGACCCACACACCCAAACAGCCAGCCGAGGGTTAAAGACTTCTCCAGACACCACTTCACAGATAAGAAACTTGGCAGCAGCTCCGTAGCTGCCTGCCAAGACCTTTTACTCCAAGAACACAGAAACAAAAACAATACACAAGTTTAAAGCCACAGCAAACTACTTCGCCAGAGATTCAGCTTTTGTCCATCACAGAGGTCCAAATGGCCACCACCACCCTTTTATAGCCTGTGGGGTGTGGTCCAGTGACTCAGCTTAATCTCTGGCACGTCTCCTTTTCTGCTGCGCACACTTGTCGCTCCTACGCTGGCGTGGATCCAGCCACAACTTCTCTTCCTCATTATCCGACACACCTGGCTCCTGGCCAATCTCAGAAACACCTGGCTCCTCGCCAGTCTCAGAACCACCCGGCTCCTGGTCAATCTCTTCTCCGTCGGGAGACACCTGGGGCCTTGCCAAAGAGGAGGGTCCTGGAGAGGGAGGCCTGGCCATCTCCTCTCCTTCATGTTCGGAGCCTTCTACCTCCGATAAGAGGGGCTCACAAGACGGAGCCACAACACTATCCTCAAATCCAGCTTCAGGTATAAAAAGATAGTGCTGAGATTGCTTTGATTTGAATTGGGGGGGGATAATTTTTGTATAAGTGATAAAGATGCAATCATTAATTTTGTGGGTAAATTAACCCTATTTTTTTTTAATTTTCAGGCAACCATGGATATTCCAGGTTTGAATCTCAGTCAGCAAGAATACTACCCTTATGTGTACTACAAGATAGACTGCAACTTGCTTGACTTCAAATAGCTTATTTCTGAATCTAGTGATCCTCTCATAGTGTTGATGTACAAGCAAAAAAGGTTGAAGAATGTCGCTCCTAAATCTCTCATAAACCTGTGCTTGCTTCTTTCTCCCTTTGCATAGGAGAATAATCTCCTTGGTGGTCAATCCCTTGATATTTTCTTTTTAAAGAGAAATGTAATTATTGTTTTTAATAGATCAGGTCTGTAATTGTATATTGAGAGAATCAAAAGTGTATTTATAAATAGTCCTTTATTTAAAGGGTAAGAAACAGAAGGAGGTCATTCTGCTTTCATGCCATGCCTCATCAAGACTTTGTTTATACAACGAGATAGTGGGGAAACATGCCATTGTTCAGTGTTTTTCATAGATGTGCTATAAACATTGTAATTGAATTGTGATGTAAAATATGTGCAGACTGATATTCAGTCGATGCTTTCTGATGTTTTAAGTTTACAAGATATTAAGCACTGCATCCACCCAAGAAAATAAAAAACACCTGTACGATTGTCTTGCCTTTGTACTTTGTTCTGAAAGGCCACTATAAAAACATATAGGGAGAGTTGCATGGGATATGAGTCACAAGCAGTCACCTTTGTGGTGGTGATAATGAAACTTATGGCCGCACTTTTCCCCCATAAACTGGATTTAAACATTGTACTAAGGCATGGTTTGTTTCAGTATTGTTCATTAAAGAAATCAGTTTATTCTTTATGCTGAGATATAAATCATGATTTACAAACTGCCATGGCTGACTTCACAGATGTGATATATGCGTGCATACAAAAGCATAAAAATAGGAATCATGAAAAGCTACCATGCAGGGGCCCACATTGACTGTTGATTGGTTGGTCACACTAGCTTTATGCTGAGATAGTAAAGGAGTTGCTGGTCAATTAGGGTACTATGTTTCCAGTGCACCAGGGGGCACCCTTGTGCCATTTTAAACATGATAAATGATATTTCAGGATTTTGTTGCATGAAAAACACAACACTAGAATCTTCCTCATGTTTCTATACCATTCTTTTTCTGCCTTTTGTAGATCAAAGGCTAACAAAAGTGCATTGCTCAACTAAAAGTAGTGCGTAAGAGAATGACGTGCTTTTGCAACATGATGTAGAATGAAAGGTCTGAACTTCCAGAAATGTCAGAAAACTCCAGACATTGTTAAAAGGCAAAATATCTGAATATACTCTGACAATTGCCATAAATACATTACATAGTGAAAATTACTAGCATTAAAGAATCTATTATGAAGTGCAACAAAGGATTAATGGTCTGGTTATGTTGTTCGTCCATCGATTTCGATGAAGACCTTGACATCTTATGGATTATGGGCCATCAACGGTGTGTCCGTAGATGGCTGATAAGACCGATGTTAGCACAGAATGTTCTGCCACATACTGAACAGAGAAATGTAGACACTATTGCTTCAGCATTTGCAGCTCTGGCTTTACGGAGTGCTCGCTTCTCTTGTGCCAAGATTGTCCTTCTGTGTTCATGTCTGGCAACCCTGGTAAACCAGGGTACGCCATGTCGGTCGATCATGCGCCAAAAATTCCCAAGACATGGTGTCGATATCCAGGGACTTGAGAGATGCTTTCAGTGTGTCTTTGTATCGCTTCTTTTGTCCCCCGTGCGATCGCTTTCCTTGAGACAGCTCACCATAGAAGAGCTGTTTAGGGATGCGATGGTCTGACATCCTTACAACATGGCCTGCCCAGCGCATCTGGGCTTTCATCAACAGAGTGTAAACTGATGATAGGCCTGCTCTGGAGAGGACATCTGTATCTGGTATCTTATCCTGCCACCAGATCCTCAGGTATCTTATCCTGCCACCAAGTCATGTGGAAGTAATTCAGTTGCCTAACGTGCCTCCTGTACACTGTCCAGGTCTCACTAGCATACATCAGGGTAGTTAGCACTGCTGCCTGGTAAACTTTAAGCTTAGTAGCAAGTCTTATTCCACGGCGATCCCACACGTTAGTCCGCAGTCTGCCAAATGCAGAACTTGCCTTGGCAATTCTACAGTTGACCTCGATGTCAATTGTCACTGCGCGGGAGAGGGTACTACCAAGATACGTAAATTGGTCCACTGCTTGCAGCTTTTGTCCCTTCACTGTGATGGTAGGCTCTTGGTATTGGGCTTTTGGAACTGGCTAGCAAAATAAAGTGACTGATACATAAGTCTAGTAAATAAAGTTTGAAACTACGCAAAATCCTAAGAAATGAATTTTCTTTTAAAAAGAATACCTGCTACTTAGACTTCTTGTACAGAAAAATCAAAATAATGGTTTGGTGGAACAGTTATATCCTCATTACTCAAATATATGCAATTAAGCATTACATTGTATGCCTTAAGCCTCCTGCCTCAGTATAATATTCCACATGGGTCAGAGCTATATTTCTCCTTAGTAATCTGAGTGTGCTTCTATAAATTATTGCTGTTCTTAATTGTAAGACACACAAATCAATTCTGTGACTTCTGTAACTCTTAATATTTATTTTGGAATGATTGTCTGCAAATCATAGTTTAGTGGGGGCAGCTATGTTCCCTTGGTACAGATGCTTCTTTTTTCCTTAGCAAATACTGTATGCTTGCAAGTGTGCTCACGTGAATGTATGGTTCACCTTTGCATAATCTCTTGGATATAAGATATTTCTTATTTTTATCAGATTGTTTTTTAAATTAAATTTTTATGCTGCCCATTTCCCCTACAAGCTGACTCTGGGTGTTGTTGTTTTTTATTTCTGCAAAGTTTGCTTCAAGGTAACCTGACATTTGGATAGCAATGACAAATATCACTTCGTTAAAGTAGTATTCTGAGTTGCAAGGCAATCTGTTTTACAGTTGATTTCCTATCTATGTGACATATGCTTCATTTTGATGCTATACATAATGCAATGTTTCCATTGCAGCCAGAGCACAAAAACTGATTCTATAATTTTCTGACTTGGAGAAAAGCCATTTCCCTTTTCCTCTTTTAGTTGTTGTTTCTCCTTCCTTGTTCTCTACCTGTCCCACGTTCCTATTTATTTTTGAAAAGCTGCCATTTTAGCAAAGGTTGCTCTTTAGAATTATTCTCTGTTGCCAAGCAACACCATCTTCTGCAGAGCTTAGTATCCATCAGCTGTCAGGGAACAATATCCTCCTTGAGTAATAGTCATTGCAGAGTCTACAATGTCTAATTTGAATACACTGATCTGAATTAAAATGGGGAGTATCTTTGCCATCTGTGGTTAGTCTCCATTTTTCACATTTATTTTCAGCACTTAGAATTCACATCCTCGCTGGTATCTCAAGGCACCTAATGTCCATGAGTAAAATAATCCATGAAAATAATAACCAAGAAAAAAATGGCAGAGAAGATAGGATATTTCTGTTTAAAAGAAAGAAACAATACAACATAAAAAAGAGCAAGATGTATTTGATGGGCGGGGTTTCCACTTGAAACTTCAACTTAGTAGTAAACCCATTATCCAGAAAGGTTCTGTGAAAATGGTGTCCCCTGTGGGAAATATATCAACAAGCAGAGAATACCAATTTAGCAAGGTTCAAAAAAAAAAAAAAAAAAAAGCTAGCCAGTTTATTCCATTTGCTCAGTGGGTCATAAGATCACAGAAATGGAAGAAGAATTCTTTGGCCATGGAGTCCAAGTCCTCACTTCTTGTACCAAAATCCAAATTAAAGCATTCTTGACCAATGGTTGCCTAGCTTCTGCCTGGGTACATTCAACAAAAGAGAACCAGCTATAACCCTCAAAATTGTTGCAGTTGTCAAAAATTCCTACAGTTGGGAATCCCCCCCAACTTTGATCTATGATCTTGTGGGACAGTAAATAACATATCTTAATCTTCTATATGACTTCCTTTCAGGCTTTTTAAAAAAATGCTATCCCTTCTCTGAACTTAACCCTCCTCTCTCAATCTTGCCTTGTAAGACTTTGTTTCCAGTCTCTTTTAAAAAA